CAAAGCAACTCAGGATGGTCCTCGGCCAGAGATTATGGCACGAGAGGGCCTGGATCAAACGCTTGGACACCCGGTACCTAGAGGCCTCAATGAGCTTAGACACAAATAAGCACTCCTAATCTCATGGTCCCTTAGGTTTACTCACTTTCTCTCATTTTCCTCTCGCTCGTAGGGCGGCATATATTTCTTCTAAAGAACTCTTTCTTATAAAATCTATACAGATTGTCTTCACTCTACTCTTTCACTAACACATAACCCTTTTAACCCTCTGGCGCACAGCCTCGTCTGATATAGCCCTGACTAGATGACCCCACTATTCTTATTCTAACCCTAACATTCGGAACCCTGGGAAGTACCCCCTCAAATTACTAACCCTACTCCAGTGAACCCTACTCAAATAGCCCTAATCTGGTGACCCTACTCAAAATAGCCCTAATCTGGTGAACCCTATTCAAAATAGCCCTGATTGGTCTTTGTATAAACATAAAATAATGTATCATCACTTCTATTGTTGTTATAATCATCCTATTTATACTCCAAGGAGTAGTTTTGATTTCTAAAGACCATATTTTCAATTAAATAATTGAATATATCTTTTATTATATTTATATTCGTCTGTACATATGTTACTGGGCTCTAAAATTCTATCATCCTAGTCAAAAAGAGGGTTAAAAACATTTTAATTTTAATTCAAATTAATATTTATACACCAAGAGAGAGAGTGAGATAGTCAGAAGAGTTTTTCATTAGGAATTCATTGAATAAATAAATAAATAAATAATTAATTTATAAATAAATAAATAAATAAATAGATGAATTCATATTATAATGATACATTTCATTGACTCTAAAAACAATTTTTATATGAGTAATACATAGGAGGATTGAGGACGGGGACTTGGATAGGTGGGTGGCGGTCGGTGGGTTGTGTGGTGGCCTTTGCGTAGTGGCCAGGCGTCAGAAGGACCGTGCATAACCGGGCCTGGACTTCGGTCCGGGCTCTGGACTTCTCGTATTCCTAATCCAGCCAGTGCCTCTGACTCTGGGCTTCGTTTGGTCGCCGTGTTGCCCTCTGGCCGACTCTTGCTGCCTCGTCCCTGTCTTCTATCTTTTATCTCTTTTATCTCATATATAAACCAACTCATTACTCATATTTTATATTTTATATTTTATAAATAAGAGGAAGATGATTGAGAAACTGTGATACATTTTGATTCAAAAATACCATGAGAAATATAAAAATATAAAAATCCAACAGGACTGTCTGATTATTTTATTATATCATTTTATTAAATAGAGGATGTTTGGAGATACATGTCTCAACATGTTTCCTCAGAGTTTCAATGATTTTCTATTGTGTTTTCCAGATAAAAATATAATCCATCATATACATAAATAGTTTCACCTAGACCTATAATTCATATTAAAAATATAAAACCCTATCTGGAACTTATTTATGGTATTAAAATAATTCTTTTCTCTGATGGTCGTGGAATATACGCCAGTGACGTCACACGAAACCAATAGTATCGTCCATTTTGACGACACCGATTCCATCGGTTTGAATAAATAATTTATTTTATAACCCCTGTAAGGACAATAATGTTTCTCTGGGTTTAATATGACTCTATAAACACTCTGGAACACACATAATTTTGTTTCATTCATTGGACTCTTTTGTTACTTTATATCGCGGATCATGTTGTTTCAATGTATCTCTGTCACGTGCATGAGAAGAGGGGGACTCGCATTAAAAGGATTTTTCTCTTCAAAACAATAATGATTTACATAAGATTTACCATTTAGAGGCATAGAAGAACTCATTTCTCAAAGATTCGCTGAATTAGTTTTACAATATATATCTTTAGTAAGCCAAATCGGGGGTTTATTCGATGCTGGTTTTTTCAGAGCGAGTCTATAAAAGGGAGCGCGCATTGGGCGCGCCCCCATCATTTTCACCCTTCTCTCCTGAGGAACGGACGTTATGGAAAGTGCTCCGCGATCCTGAACTCAAGAAAATAACTTTGCACGTTGAATTCTCACTAATAGGTATTTATATTTAATAATACAAACTAGTATATTATTATAAATATCTTTTTAGTGTTTTTGTTTTTCTTTTTTTGTTGCAAGCTGCCTGAGGAAGGTATCATAGTATACCGAAACGTCGCGATTTAAGCTTGCACTCTATCTTTTCTAACTTTCTCTCTTTTTTAAGATCCATTATTTTGAATTTTTCTTCATCCTCTTTATTTTATTTCACTTAATCACTCCACAATGGATGTCTTTAGAGGCCGTGTGAGACAAAGA